TGGCAAATGTCCAATTTGAAATCACCAACTGTCATGTAGTAAGGAAACTCTGCAGTTACATGTAATGCCAACAGAGTCTAAACATAGATCAATCCAACAGTTATTGTTCCTCATGGTGCCAACGGCTCCACGGACCAAATGGTCAGGAGGTCCCGTCGGCACCCTCGCGTGTAGGGTTCGATCCCCCGCGGGTGCGCTCGTTTGCCCGCCGGAGGTAAAAAAAATCCCCTCACCTGTCCCGCGTTTCCCAAAGCATAGGTAAATAGACCGGCCCACTCACAGGGTAACGAGCCCTGTGTGAGGGCGGAGCATAGGGTTGGGGGTTTCTTGAACTACGTGAGAGATCTCTTCTACCTTAAGCACAAAGTTGCGGGGGCTGTCTGCCCACTACAGGCTGAGTTTTTTTTTCCTCATGGTTATAACTATACAAATTCATAGTATCCAAAAAAATAACTATACAAATTCATGAGTTAAACTGCCAAAAAGCTCCAAGATTGCGTGCTCTGTTGTTAGGCGCAGGGTTGAGGAAATCGGAATGATGCTACCATTGCCTACAGTAAGGAAAGAAGCAGAGTGGGGTAGGCGGGAAAGCAGTATACCATCCAATGTTGACATGTGAGTGGCGGCGCCAGTGTCGAGGACCCAGGAGTTGGCGCCCTGAAGTGCCATTTGGTTCACGGCGGCAATGAGGCTAGCCTAATCCCAGCGGCGGGCACCCTGCTGCTAAGTAATAATACGGAAATAGAGTCCCTTTTACATTGTCTTGCATAAAGGGATGGTTGGTAATTTAGATGCACATTAGGATGAAACTTTAGATTATTTTTGTAACAGCATACATGAATAGTTCCTATAAAAATTAGAGCATTATAGATTATTTTCCAGAATAGGATAAATATATTTGTCAGATGAATTTAACCTATTTTTTCTCTAATGGCAAGATGTGTGCTGCTTCAAAAACATTTTTAGAGATACTATAGATTTTATTTTAAGAGGCCGCCTCTAGAAATCATTTAGGGGTGCAATAGGTCTACGTCCTCAAAAGTCCCTCTAAACCAAGTCTCAGTCTTTGCAGCGTCAAACAAAGATTTGATCAGGGCCTGTATCCTCGAGAACCAAAGCAGAAAAGGTGGAATCCTTAGAACCTGTGTCCTCACCATCTCGATGGTATCTAAACTACATAGCAGGTGCGGTTTGAACCCTAGATCGAGTACCCATCATTCCCTATGCTTCTCAGTCCTGTGGAATGTATACCTATTTGCTCTTCCTCAGACCAAGGTTATATATAGTGCAAGTAAAATGTATGGTGCAGCGGTGCCAAACAAAGAAGACCGATTTATCTTACAAGGCTGCTGTTGTTGTTGGGGTTTTATATATCATGTCAAATAGTTTTGTTCCATGTTGAAAGCAGAGAAATGCTCTCTACCTACCTCTCAGCACAATAGAGATATTACATAGGGTACTTGCAAAATCATCAGTACTTGGTCACCATGTAGCCAGGCAAAAGTCTCAAAATATAACGAAGCCCACATCCATTCTTTCTTTTAGGATTGAGTACAAAATCAAATTTATAAACTGCCAAAAGCTCCAAGAATTGTCTCTGTAATTTGAGGCGCAGAGAGGAGAGAAATACCAACATTATGGTTATTTGTGAACTTTCAACAACAGCAAGTAACTTTATTGGTGCTCGATCAGCTCAATTATTCTAGGTGTATATAATCATTCCAGAACAGGGTAGGTGTAGACAATGTGCTTTTGAAGCAAATCTTAGCAGCTCCTAATTTGTAACTGGAGATACGTACTGAGCAGTGGTAGGTAAAAAGTCCTTGAGACCAAGCATTTTTGTTCAACGGCAGAAACGTTACACTGTAAATTGGACACTAAGTTTCCATAATCAACCTGATCATATGATTGCACAAGCAGTGCAGTACAACAATGTTTGCGGACAAAAGGAAGAAATGCCCCCATACAACTACCGTACCATTTGGGTTGATTTGGGTGCTCGAAGTTGGCACGCACTCTAGGACTACTGGCCAGAGTCAAGCTTTGAGCCCAGCTCATATAGCAATATGTGTTCATGCATAAAACTTAACTACACTATCGTCCATAGGTACAGAAGCTAGCTATGGCAAATGGCAGACTTCAAATTTCCAAGACCTCGATGAAAGGCAAAATTAAAATTCCCGAAACCTCCCAAACCTATGAGTATACGCTCTTGCACAGAATGAGCCCACAGTGCAAGTAAACTATTTGGTCACAAGCAAGCACAGTGTATATTTAACTATATGCTGCTGCTGTTGTTGTTGTAGTTGTAGTTTTATCATCTCGAAAACGAGCTGTGGCTTTATATGAACAAGGATAGAGTTGTTTATTTGCTCCTAACTATTAGTAAGTAAATAGAGTAACCATACATGGTACAGCTAGGTACTTTCATACTTTATTATAGGAATGGCATCAGGTATTATGACTGTTTCATTGGAAACGATCCATCTGTGGTGTGCCAGAACCATGGATGATGGATGCTGTCAGAGGCGTCAATAACCATGTAATAAACTGGATACAAGATATATGAATTGTTTGTGTAATTTGAGGCCTAGAGGAGATAAGAAATGACACCATTATCTGCGAGCTTGCAGCAGCAGTGAGTGATATCTTAACAGCTCATATAAAGAGATGCTAAGAAGTGTTAGGTCCAAAGTCCTGACAGCAAGCATTTTTTTTTGTTAGATGGCAGAGACATTGCGCTGTCAAAAAGTAATGCAAAAAATTGGACATACGCAACAAATAATGCAAAAAATTGGACATTGTGTTTGTGTAGTCAACCAGATCAAAATTCCACCAAACAACACATGTTTCTCTCTGGCAGCATGGGTTGCTTGTGTGGCAGCGTGATGAAGATGCCATTGCCTTAGGTGTCATCTCTCTGATGAGACCGTAGATGAACTCACACTAGTAGGGTGTTAAATTTGGAAGAAAAAAATAGTAAACTAATCTATGGATGATTATAGAGGCTAATAACTAAATTAGGCGGTACCCTAGGGAGAATTCGGAGATTGATCTCCCTTGGCAATGTGAATGGGAGGTGTGATCTAATAACCAAGGATCGAATGATGCTAGACTAAGGCTCTCGATACCATGTAGAAAAGAGTGGATATGTTGAAAACCCTAACTAAAATTTGTTGAAGATTTCTTGTTGCTTGCATTGACTCTCACAGGTTATTTACAGGTACATATGAGGGAGAAACTAGGAGTACAAGCCAAGTTGTACTATACCTAGTTCTATTCTTGATTTTCAAAAGCATTACATCGACAAAGCCATGGAAACCCTCCGACCCTCAGCCATCGTTGCGACGGTCGGCAATATTTGCCCACTTGTCGAGCTTGTACAGAGGCTAGGATTACCAGCATTGTGGGGCGCATGAGCAGGACGGTGAAGGGACGCATCTAAGAACTTCTTGTTCATGGATCTTTCTGTCCTCAGCTTCCTTTCATGCAGGCTACGGCCACATGAATACAGGAACCGGTGTTGAGACAGCAGAACAAGGGAGGTTACAGAGCCCCTACATAGTCATTGGAAACCTTTTTGCCTGGCTTCAAGGTTTGCATGTGATCAGTGACCACAATTGCTAAGGTCCATGAGCTTATGCAAAAATATTACAGAGCAAATGGTGAGTTTAGAGTGAAAAGAGATCCACAGACTACAGTTCATCACGGAAAACAAAATCAGCGAAACACAAATCCTCAGGTGTCATGACACTAATTCAGGCAACTATTGCTTCTCTATCCATTGTGTTTGATTGTTCTGTTTAGTGCTACCACTCCCTGATTTCACCTTACTACTAGGCCTTTCAGCTCTCCCTGATTTCACCTTACTAGACCTTTCAGCTCTCACCAACATCTTAGCAAGATATCTAGCAAATGGTACTTGGTACCATATCATCAGGAATGCATGCATCTCTTGATAAAAAGGTGTTAAAAGAAATGGTTTTGGTACTTTCATACCATTTCCAATTGTTTGGACCCCCTCCCCCCCACCAACACACACACACCCCAAACCTGTGTTGTCATTTCGGTTTTGTTCATGGTTAAACATGTGATGAACAAACTCAATGAAAGAAAATTAAAGAGCAACCCACAGAGGACTAGTTTTTTGGCTGCTTAATACAAGCCGGCCCAATAAGAAAAGTAATAAAAATGCTAATAGGGCCATCTCTTCATGAAACGCCAGTCTATTGGATGAGCACTCTCAACCTCATAAATACGGCCTCACAATCACAAAGGTGTGACTATTTCCCAACATTACAGCCCAAATAATATAATGTCATTGACAAACAGCTGTCATGGTGTTAGACTGTCAATGCCACATTGTGGTGAAGTTTTGATAATGAACGTTGCGCAACCCACCAGGACACACAAATTAGGGTAATAGTATCTGTGGAGAGCTTTGATCCAAAAGCTTGTGTGCTGGGCCATAGCCACATCTTTGTTTTTGTTTTCTTTTTTTTTTTTTGTGGCTTGAAACACATCCGCATCTTCACACAAAGATGAACATATCAAATATCATGAAATCATCTTCGAACAATAGTATATAAACAATGACTTCAAATGCAAAATATATAGAAGGAAAATAAACAAAGAAAACCCAAACATGATGCGAATATTAACATCATATACATGGAGAATTATCTAAAGTTATACAAGTCCAACAGGGACAAGAAAGAAACAAGGTGAAGGCACATTGATAAAAACATTTTCATGGCTTTATCCTAAGTAGATTCAAACAAAGGCAGTATCAAAGCAACACCATATGGTAGAACTGCAATTTTATATATCTAACTTACATAAGAACTGCATTGCTCTTCAGGAGAATTTATGTACAGGGCGGGGCCAAAAGTAAGGTCACTATGCGTGGGCCAAAAGTAAGGTCACTAACTTTGGCATTCTTTTGCAAGGTTAAACCAAAAAGCCTCTGGCTGGTTCCAACTCTTAGCAAGGATAGGAGCCTATGAAGATTGTGGAGTTTCCAGAAGGCGATACATCGTGATTTCTTGTTGCTTGAAATACCTCCGGTCTTCCTCATCGACAAGGACCAGATTCAGGTAGTACTTGACACTGAACTTGTTGTTTATGTTTCGGTAAGTTGGGGTAAGCTCATATGGAGTCAAGAATAGTCTCACTGGAATCGATTCTCCTGTGTAATCATTGTTGATAAACTTAGCAACCTACTCAGTGGAGTATTTTACATAAAAAATTCGACGTAGTCTTCTCAAATGTCAAAAAATAATGTTTACCTGTTACCATTTAACAAGAAGCAAGTGACAGCAAGTTTGCTTGAAAGCTACGCATGCCTTTATAAATACAAGAGGGGAGAAATATGAGCAATACCTCTAACTGGGGCGCCATCCATCAGCTCAAATTTTGCTAGTGTCTCAGTCTCAACGTATGTGTTGGGACCAGACCCTGTAGATTCACGGCGACGAATCTCAAGCTCCATGTTCTTTATCTTAATTCTGACCAGAAGAAAATATATCTTTCCTATGATGACATCTTTGAGATGATACCTGATTTATGTTTGGACCATAAGAGAATATGAGTTCCTGACTTGCCAAACCAGGTGAATATAAGAACAGACTGTTAAAACAGTATGCAGTGCTTACTTGCTTTTGCTGTACTCAAATTCAATATGCAAGCAATCTTCAATGCCAACTTCCATCTGAAAAGGCAAGACCATTATACTCATCTAATGAAAACATCCAAGTATTTAACTCCAATATCTGTAACAAAAGTTACGAAAATTGGTGCTATAAACAATTCACCAGGCAATCTATTAGGGTGCACTCTTATCTTCTCTTTAAACTATTAATAATAATACTGATATGATATTTCAGAAGTGGCTCAATGGTAGCTCATATAATTATGAAGAGGAATTGAAATTAGTATATGATTATGTAAGCCCTAATTGATACACTTGACAAGTCTCACTTACATGGCCTAAAAGGCATCATGACTTATTAAGCCGGGTCAAATTGCTAAGGCTTTAGAAGTGGAATAAGCCACACAGTTATGAGGACACACCTTGATGCTGTTGTTGATTGTGGGAACTGGAGAGTAGTTTCTTACCTGAAAACAAACATTAGAAGTATGATTGGGTGGTGCAGAAGAAACACAAACTACAAAACCTTAATAAAATCCTAGGAACCACTCAAGAAAAAAATTGAAAAAATATTGGTACATGAAAAAAAAAGAGATACATGCCATGTGGCATTTAATTTGCCAAAGCTCAACTCAAATTAAAACCCAACAGTTCTAAGTTGGAGATGCCAAAGTTTGCACTGACCCAGACAAATAATAGATCAACAAGATGATGTCCAGACTTACACAGAAGTCCCGCGATTCCACAATGCTGCCAACATAATTTCTACCAATTGTTACTTTCAGGATGTACCTGCAATATAAACTTCACCTTTCAGAATTGGTGTTATCAGAGTGGCTGATGCTGCACATCATGCAAGCTAGTCTCCAATCTAACATTTGTCCCATTATAAAGCAATTTAAGACTCTGCCTTACCTCAATCTAACATTTGTCCCATTATATGACTCGTATGGCATTTCAACAGTAGCAAACTCAAATGGATAAGTCTTCCTTTCATATATTTCACCAGGAACATCTAATTCACGCACTGCAAGGAGAGAACAGGCACTTCAAGGGAAGAGATAGGCATACAGAGAAACAGTGAGATAGCTACAAAACAAAAGGGTGCTAAGTTGTAGGTGTAATCATTATAGTAAAGAAGAGAGTGAAAGATATATGAATTAAACAAAGGTAGCTTTTAATGATCGCTAGTAAAACAAAATAATGACAGAACAGACAACAAGAGTTTCAGTTAGCCACATGGATATCTTGAATAGAAGTTGCTAAGCAGTTGTGCATCTGTGTGTGAAAAAAACAATTCAAGAAAATATCTACCTAATGAAGTGAAATCGTAGAAGTTGCCTCTGTCAAAATATAGCTCTGTAGTAAAAAGAATGGCAGACACAAATGTTAGAACCTATTAAGATATATAGTGTTGAACAGCCAGCAATATATATTATTATCAATGACAACAAGGATCATTTCTCAGCAATGCTATTATTATTATTTTTTATCTTCCTGATTTTTGCACTTTCTCAGCATTGCAATAGTTTACCATGAATGAAAATTAAAGAAAACTCTGACTGTGAATCCAGTTGTACAAATAGTTTCTCGACAAATAGTTTATTGAACGACCTGAACCTATAGCCACACTAATTTGGCTCCCTAAACCACACAAGAGCACCTAGGTTCAGAACAAATCAGAAAAAAGGGAGAAATTTAGGTAGCAGTAGCACAACTGAATTTGTACCTATCTGACCCAGCAGCTCAATCTTCACACCCGTGTGCTCAAGCCTTTTACCTGGGACCGGAGCAATCGACACCTGCGTGCAATTTCATAACAAAAACTTAACCCACACTCAGATCACGCACACCAGAGTAAACAGAGAGCAAAAAGAAACAAAACTGCCACTACTGCTACCTCTCCGGCTATGGTCTCAAGGCTCTGGAATGCCGGCACCATGACAGTCTTCCCATTGTCCTTCTTGATCTGCATCTGCAATTGTCCAAGGAGCCAACCAAATCAACCCAGCAGCCAGCTAGGAAATAATCTGTAAGGCTGTAACAGTCACATCAAGCAAGAGAAGGAACGCAGAGGGGACGCACCTGCTTCCGGGTCCTCTCATCGGAGAAGGTGACGAAGATGTCGCAGGGCGGCTTGAAGGCACCGATGATGTAATTCTGGGGCCAGGAAGAGTGGAAATCAGCGGGGATCTAACCTCTCTAAAGCACCGCGCGTCCTAAGGTGCCAAAGATGCCATCTTGGGGGGAACGGATCAAGAGCAGCCAAAGATCAGAGGCGTGGGCGTTAATTACCATGGCAGCTTCTGAGTCAGGGAAGCGATTCCAGCGGCGAGCCGGAGGAGGCAGCCGAGGACCCGAGGTGGGGCGCCGGGAAGGACGGAGGGGATCACCGGCGAATCAGCGGCACTGCAGCTGTCAAGGGCAGGAGACGAGGAATCGCTGGGCTGGCTGCTGGTGCGCCTCCCGGCCTGAGCTGCTGTCTGCCTGCGTGGGCTGGGCTCACCTTTTTTTTCGGGCGATCCGTTCTGGGCCGTTGACTTGGGTGGCATCAGAAATTTTGACCGTTGATGTGTGGTGGTGACACTCTGGACTCTGGTGGAGTCCACGGCGCAACAGGCTTGCAGGCTGGCCCAGTTGCAGCAGATGATGGGCTTCTAACCACAAGCAAAAGTGGAAAGCTTCATAAAAAAAATTTATTTCTATATTTTTAAAATTTGCTCTCCAAAAATAAATGTTCAAGTCAAAATTTTATTAATAAAGAGTTAAATACACGAGTGACTCCTGAACTTGTCAAAGAGTGCCACTTAGATCCACGAACCTGAACTTGTCAAGATCGTTCTATTACAATATTCTTTTTTTTTAATATTCCATTACAATGTTTGATTGTGAGGATAGGTTCATCGGTGCATTTTGTTTGGGACAAGGGATTGAAAGATATAGAGATTATGGTGTCTTTAACACCGTCAACAATAGTTACCTAGGTCCGCCTGTCATTTGTATCACTACTTTTCCCACCATGCATTATCTTCTTCAAGCGTAGAGCCTGTCGACACCTGCTCAGGCCTTTTTACCCCCCCTGCTCGCTCCAGCCCGCCTCCTCGCGGTGCCACTCACCTCTTTGAGAGGCCGAGCTTGTCCACTGCCCAGCAAGGCTACGCACAAGGTCTCCTCACCACAATGTGGCTACACATGAGCTCTCCCTCCACTTCTACTATGTCTGATCTCGCTACCGCTCATCTACATCAGAGCTCGCACGCCCTCCGCCCATGGCCGCCCAAGCTCAACTGCGTCGGTCCACCGCCCGCTGCCGCTCGACCTCCACCAACGGCCACTCAAGTCGCGCTCCTACCGTGGGGCCCTTCGCTGGCGCAGCATGGCTCACCCACAAGTTAGTCGCACAACAAAGGAATAAAGGAGAATGAGAATGAGAGAGAGAGAGAGAGATGGGAATTAGTCAGTCTGCTTGTTTTCAAAGGACAACCTCCAATTGCATCTAGGAGAAAATATTTTCCTTGGAGCTAGCTCCGTTCGTGGTCGTCCCTGAACCAAACAACACTAAAATAGGAATCCTCTTATCCTATTGGTAATATCTAGCGTGTTTGGTTTAAGTCATGAAGCAGTTCGGAATCATCCGATCCAAAATCCGAGCCTAGATGAGGCATTTGGTTTGCGGCACGTCATCCATTCGTCCGTCATGCAGCGGTTCCGTGAACCAAGGCAAGCTAATCTCTCGGACGAACTGGTTCCGCGAAAAAACGTCGGACGAACTGATTCCATTCGGTGCCTGACCAACCCATGCGGAACGAACACAATCTCCAAACCAAACAGGCTAACCAAACAAATACTTAGCCGTGAACCAAACGGACGTCAACATCCATGGTCCATCGGTATAACATACGCAGCTCACGCACAGTTCACTCTCTACTACTAGTCTCTAGAAACAGAAATGAAGAGGACCATATACATGAACATTTACATCTACCTCTAAAATTAATCTAAAACAAGTTTAGGATCATAAAGACTTGCCATACCACGCGTCTGTCGTTTAAGATGTACTCCCTCCATCATCTGAGATGTACTCCCTCTGGTAAAAAAAAAAAAGTATTTCTTAGTTTTTTCGGGAGTCAAATAATTTAAACTTTAACTGAAGTTATAAAAAATACTAATATTTATAATACAAATATGTACCACTAAATTAATTATAGAACGGTATTCTTATAATAATTTTTATTTAAAAACATAAATATTAATATCATTAACTATAAATTTAATGGTAATGTTTTAATCAGGCGTTCATCCGTCCGTCGCAGGCAGCTTCTCCATTAAAAAACAATTGGACGTCCATTCATCCATCACGGCCTTATCCCCGCGCTCGTCTTCCTCGCCTCACTTTGTGTTTCGTTGTTGTCGTCCTCCATCCTCGGCAGCTCGGCCCGGTCCACCCGGCTTGGCGGCGTGACCTCCTAGATCGGGAGGTCCGCCGCCGCCACCGACCAGCTCCGCCCCAGCCGGCACAACCACCCATCTCCCCCGTAGTCGTCGTCCTCCTCCTACCTGCATGCTCGTCTTCCTTGCCTCTGCCCGTGCTTCGTAGCTATCGCCCTCCATCCTCGGTAGCCCCAGCGCCCGGTCCACCGCCGGCTTGGCCGATCCGACCTCCATCGGTCATCGTCCATCATCCTCACCTTGGCCGACAAAACCGGCCATTCCACATGTTTGCGTTATGCGGGAAAAGGCAAAAACGCATGTTGCAAGCCTATGTTTCAAGTGTTTCAGATGCTTTATACCTATGTCGCAAGTGTTTCATATGGATGTTGTAAAAGTATATCAGGATGTTGCATATGTTGCAATGGTTGTACACGTATATTGCAATCTTCTCTTTCCAATGTTTCATCTATTTTTCAAATGTACGTTTCTAGGGTCGAGATGACGAACTAGAGGGGGTGAATAGTCCTTTCTAAAAATAATCGTGTCGGCTAACCGAAACAAATGCGGAATTAAAACTATCGGTCTAGCCAAGACTACACCTCTCTATCTAAGTTGTCAACCACCTTATTAAGATCTAAAAAGGCAATAAAGGTGCCAGGCTAGCTAGAGCTCACCTAACAATTCTAGCTTGCAAGGTCACACAAACCTATGCAACTAGTACTTCAAGCAACCGGGGGAGCTCCTACACAACTAGTGATGCAAAAGCGCACAAAGCTTCTAAGCTCACTAGCAATGCTCAATAACAAGACTACATAAGCCAAATTAGAGAGCGCAAACTACTTAGCTACACAAACTAAGCAATGTGACTAACAAAGTTATTCAAACCCAATTAGTCTTGCGAGAGAGCTACTTCTATGCTACACAAGCAAGAAGGTAACTAGCAAGCTACACAAGCAAACTAATTACAAGAGCAACTACACAAGCACAATGTATAAAATGTAAAGAAAAGCTTGTGTAAAGGGGATGCCAACAAACAGTAAGACAAGGATGGCACGATGATTTTATCCCGAGGTTCACGTGCTTGCCAACACGATAGTCCCCGTTGTGTCGATCGCTCACTTGGTGGTTCGGCGGCTAATTAGCATCACCCGCCAAGCCCGCACATCGGGCACCGCAAAGAACCCACCCCAAAAGTGAGGGTAGCTCAATGACATACTCTACTAGAGTTGCTCTTCGCGATATCCGCAGAGTGAGCGCAATCCCCCTCATAAATCCTCCTCCGGAGCACCGCACAATCTTCTCACGTGCTTCAACGGAGTCACAAGCCACCAAGCCATCTAGGAGGTGGCAACCTCCAAGAGTAACAAGCACCACCGACGTGCAACTCGATCACCTAGTGCCACTCAATGCAACCTCACGATGCAATCGCACTAGAATCGCTCACTCACTCGATCGGATGATCACTATCAATCACAAGTGAGTTAGAGGGCTCCCAAGCACCACCACACAAGCCACCAAGGCTCTAGTGTGCTCAGCAACCAGCCCAAGGCTGAGCTCCACCTCTATTTATAGCCCCAAGCCAAATAGAGCCGTTGGAGCAAAGCTGCTGGTTTCTGCGAGGGCATCGGACACGGCAGTGCCCTTCTCAACGGTCAAATTCCAACGGTAACTAGTCGTTGGTCACCGAACACTAGGTGGCGGTGCCACCACCACAGGAGGGGCGGTGCCACAACCGGCCAAGTCCCAAAACACTCCCTCTCTGGAATTTTAGGGCGGTGACCCCCTCGCTCAACCAACAAAACAGCCAGTCTCGGGGGAAATGGGGCGGTGCCCACGGCGGTGGCACCGGACACAACCTGGCAGTGCACCGCCGTCTCAGAGGTGGTGCACATCGCCATTGGCGGTGCCAGCCCCAGTAGTAGCTTCTCTCAGCGTCGTCCAGGTGGTCACCGCCACAAGGGTGGCAGTGCACCGGACAAGGCACGGCGGTGCCAGCTCCAACCCCTGCTCTTGGCCTCGACTAGCCGGTCACCACAACTGGGGTGGCAGTGCACTGAATAGCTAGGAGCGGTGCCCCCAGGGCAGCACTCTGAGCTCGGTTTCGCCTCCTTTTTTACCTTTGCAAATGTGCTAACACCACCAAGTGTTCACCACCTTGTGCACGTGTGTTAGTTTTTCACAAATATTTTTTCAAAGGATTAGCACTCTTTTCTCAACGCCACTCGATCCTAACACGTATGCAAAGTTTGATTGCTCAAGTGGCAATAGATGACCGATGTGCAAACAAGTTTGCCCCTCTTGATAGTATGGCCATCTATCCTAAACCCGGTCATGCACTTTTCTACACAACCTTTGACTGGTGAAATTAAATGCCCTACAAATATACCTTTACCTTGCGCATTCCATTCCATCTCCTCCATTGTTGATGCAACACATGCACCAATCAATCACCAAATGATATGATCCACTTCATATCATCACGTGACCATATTAGTTCATCGATCTTGACTTTACTTGCTCTTCACCGTTGCCTCGGTCCATCGGCGCCAAGTCATCACTCAACTTGGCCTTCACACTTGCAACCGGTCCATTGAGCCAAGTCTTGTCTTGATCTTCTCCACCTTGATGACATGACTCCATGTCATGTCTCATATGCAATGAGCTCCTTCAACACATGTGTGAGATTTGCAACATATCCAAGCCATTTCACCTCTATGGCATGAGTTGCTCACACAAGTGTACCTGTGGACTAATAACCAGTGTATCTCATATTAAATATAATTAGTCCACCTAAGTTGTTACTCAATTAGTAAAACCAAACAAGGACCTTTCAATCTTTCTTTTTTTGGTAATTGATGACAACTCTA